AAAAAAAAAAAAGGAACATCTCTAACAAACTTGGAATCATACCTCAAGCTTTTTTGTATCCCTTCTCTGCCACCTCTACCCCCACTGCACCCCCCGAGTATAGGAAAATATCAAACCCACATGATATCTGTGGTTCACATATGCAAACACACACACATTCACAGCACTGTGAACAAAACAACCGGCCCTTAACACACACAGACACAGGGTATCCCAGAAGAACAGATGTTCTTCCATTAAGAACTTCAAGCTCAATTTTAGTGATAACTTTTAAGTGGCAAGACTGAGTGATATGTTGCTATGGTTTTATTTATTTATTTTTTATATATATAAATTACAAGTCTTCAAACTAACAACCAGTTCATCAACTATAGTGTCAATGTACTCTGGACACAAAATTCAAGTTGTTTCTGAAACTTTATCTGGTAGGAGGAAATCCTCTTTTTACCTCTTTACCCAGGAAATTACATTGATGAGAAATTAAGAACTTTTTTTTAGGTGTTTAAAATTATAAATTACTTATACAGGCCTGGCTGGTGCAGTCAGTAGAGCATAAGACTCTTGATCGCAGAGTCCTAAGTCCCAGCCCCACGTTGGACACAGAGATTACTTTTAAAAAATAAATTAAATAAAGACTATATAAATTACTTACACTTGTCCCTTACATTTTTATGTACTTCCCTAATCTTCCAGCATGACCTTTCTTTGTATAAATTACTTATACTTGACCCTCATTACTTTTATATAATAAAAACTGATTTTTAGGGGCACCTGGGTGGCTCAGTCAGTTGAGCGTCTGACTTCAGCTCAGGTCATGATCTCACGCTAGTGAGTTCGAGCCCCGTGTTGGGCTCTGTGCTGACAGCTCGGAGCCTGGAGCCTGCTTCGGATTCTGTGTCTCCCTCTCTCTCTGCCCCTAACCCATTCACATTCTGTCTGTGTCTCTCAAAAATAAATAAATATTAAAAAAATTTATAAAAACTGATTTTTAAAAACAATTTTTCTTTAAAAAAGAACAGCAATTGAAAAATGCTCTCAACGTCTTCTTGGACTTTACTATGAAAATACAGTTAAACTGAAATTTACCTATTTCCCTCATAGTAAGCTGCATTTGAACAGGCTGAAAGCATAGTGGTAAAGGACATAAAATGTCAAGGGAAAAAAAGGCGTAACTCGGAGTTAGCCTATCCAGTACCCCACAAACAAAGAGATTCTCCCCTATCAGGTTTATTGGCCTGGCCTATGGGGAGCCTTCCATCCCCACATTAGTTCACTCGGTTTGGTACCTATATCACTTTCAATGACTTCTGAGGGTTTCTTTTCCCCAGCTCAAACTTTTTAGTTCTCTTAAACCTTGGTTCTATAGGTACCAGAGCGTAGCAAACACACTCTAAGTCGACCCCCTATGAGTCACATCTCTGTATTAGCCTCTCCCCTGGAGTTTGGGTAGCATTTATGACTTGCTTCCCGCCAAGCGCAGATGGAAAAGGTGACGGGAGGTCACTCC